TTTTAAAAAAATTCAAAACGACGTCGTTTTAATAAAAAAAATAAATAAAAGTCAACGGATTACCACCGGGTTTTTGACCGGGTTTTGCCGGGTCGTCCGGGTTTCCGGGTCAACCCGCCGGGTCAGCCGGGTCACGCTGGGTCATAGCTTACCTTATTTTTTCATCAACCCGGCCCGGTTCCAGCCCCGGGTCGGCCGGGTCCCGGGTCAACCCGCCGGGCCGGGCCGGGTTTTAAAACTATGGTTATATTATCCCCTCATCTGTTTTGTTTTACGATCAAATCCTCAGATTCAAGCAAATGCTTCCGGGGACTTCAGGAGGATGCATCGTCACATTTCCAAAGGAGCATGGACTCTCTCCATCAAAGATCATGGTTGGCAAGTCTCGGATTGCACTGCTGAAGCGCTAAGGGTAAACAGATTCAATTTGTCTTCGTAAGAGTAATTAATGCCATAAAAGATTACGACGTTTGTGATGAAAAAAATTCCTTCTTTTGCAGGCTTTGCTCTTACTTTCACAAATGCCAACAGAAATTGTTGGTGAACCAATTGACACAGAAAGATTATATAATGCTATAGATTTCCTCCTATCTTTACAAGTATGACTAATTTATTCTTCCGCATCAACGTAATTTGCCCAGGTTGTGATAAGCTCTTACCATAGCACTTACGTTAGTTGTTTCCTTTGCCAGAGCAAAAATGGTGGTTTTTCTGTTTGGGAGCCAGCAAGAGGGCAGAGATGGTTGGAGGTAATATTTATTTGTCGATGTATTCCCAAATCACCTTGAAACTTTTTCCTCTTCTAATGATATTTGTTTCGTGATGCCTTCTTCCTCAGGTGCTAAATCCAACCGAAGCTTTTGGTGATATGATGGTTGAAACCGAGTATGTTCATTCCACCTTTCCTTTTAAATAAAACTCAAGTGTCTCAAATAAGGTGCAAACTGATACTACCTATTGGTGATTAGGTATGTTGAATGCACGGCATCTGCCATCCAGGCTCTTGTATTGTTCAAACGCTTGCATCCAGGATACCGACGCAAAGAAATAGAAGCTTCTGTGGCCAAGGCATCAAGTTATATTGAAGATGCACAGATGAGCGATGGTTCTTGGTAATTATGTCCTATTAACAGTGAATGGAGAATAACATAAATACTCAAACATGAAGAAATTGCATTATAGGGAATGCAGAGTAAGAAATTAGTTGGATGGTGTTCTGATTGCAGGTATGGAAATTGGGGGATTTGCTACTCATATGGAACATACTTTGCATTAAAAGGGCTAGCTTCTGTTGGAAAGACATATCGAAACAGCACGACAGTTCAGAAAGCTTGTGAATTTCTGCTGTCAAAACAACACAACTCAGGAGGATGGGGAGAGAGCTATCTTTCCTGTGCCACCTTAGTAACTACCCTATCCTGTTAAATATCATCTGTTCATACTTAAGCTCCAAGCTATTAGCAGAATTCAATTATCCCTATTAATGGTTGAGACACCTGGAAAATTGTTTCAAACAGTTAGTTTCCCATCAGATTGTTTGAGGTTCTAATAGTTGTTTCGGAATGTCTCACCAAACAGGAGTATACAGAGATAGAAGGAAACAAATCAAATGTGGTACAAACAGCATGGGCAATGATGGGTCTTATTCATGCAGGACAGGCAAGTGGTGATTAAATTTCAAATATTTATTCCCTATTATAAAAAATCATCAGCATAACCAGTCTGATTTGATGATTAAATTTGTTTCCATAATACCACTCATCCTGCTACAAGGTCTAATATAATATAATGCAAACAATTAAAAAACCCTTAAAAGGATCAAAGTAACTCACGAAACACCAACTGAAAAGCTGAACTAAAACAGAAACTTGGATTTGTCTCTGTAAACATTGAGTACCACACAAACTAAGACAGATGTATTGTGCACCTTTAGACATAATCTCCTCCTAACTTAGAACACTAAACTAGAATGCTGGTATGAAGAAATTGATTCTGATTTCCTGCTTACCAAATGTGACTGGCATAATTTTTCCAGGTTAGTATTGGTAAATACTCCTTGGAAAGATTCAATCTAAAAATTATTGCCGCATGTCATCTCCCTACTTCCTAACAGCCCTATTGCTGCATGGGTGTCAATGTGTGAACATTTTTCTTCCATTTGGCAAAGAAAAAAGAGGAAAATTCTTTAGCTTTTAACATCAGGAGCAAGGTACCAGCCATGACAAGTACCTAATTTTCATGATGAAACAAGCTCTGAGTATATGAAGTAACATTGAAAATGTGATCCTATTCAACCATTATGCAATTCTAGTTTGAAGAGTTTAAGTTATTGCATAATAAAAGGTTTTCCAAAGCATTGTTTTCTCTATTATTTTTTATACTAAGTGCAAGTTTTGACCTTTTTCCCCACTTCCTAACAGGCTGAGAGAGATCCGGCTCCTTTACATCAAGCAGCAAGGCTACTTATCAACTCACAGATGGAGAATGGTGAATTTCCTCAACAGGTATGGCATACTATCAGATGGTTCTAGCTATCTTCTCTATTATCTTAATATAGGAAAAGAAAGAATTTCTCTACATTTACGATTTTCCATGATATTTTTTACTTTTAACATTCTCTGTAACTCTTTAACTATGAATTCTTTCTCACAGCAAATCACTGGGGCCTCCTTGAAGACTTGCATGCTACATTATGCTTCGTTTAAGAATATATTTCCTCTATGGGCTCTTGGAGAATATCTGAAGTGTGTGCCCCTGAGAAAGCTTTAATAAGCTCCATTTTATGGGCTCTTGGAATGCTTGGCAGAGGAATACTGTTACTTTAATTAAAGACCTCTGTATGGCAAAGCATCTACTTGCACTATTTCAGAATGTATGTTACATTAAAATTAAATTAAATATGTACTGCATTTTCAAAAAAATAAATAAATGTATATCACAAGCATATACATCGTGTTTAGAATAAATCTTATGTAGAACTAAACTGAATTTAAACAGGAATTAGTTCAAACTAATAATTTGTTTGTATCAAAATTTCAAACATTGAAGTAATAGAACTAAACTAAACCATGTTCTGTATTTTAATCATTGAACTAAATTTAATTATTTTCTTATATTTCCTATGATCTTGCATGCTACATTATGCTTCATTTAAGAATATATTTCCTCTATGGGCTCTTGGAGAATATCTGAAGTGTGTGCCCCTGAGAAAGCTTTAATAAGCTCCATTTTATGGGCTCTTGGAATGCTTGGCAGAGGAATACTGTTACTTTAATTAAAGACCTCTGTATGGCAAAGCATCTACTTGCACTATTTCAGAATGTATGTTACATTAAAATTAAATTAAATATGTACTGCATTTTCAAAAAAATAAATAAATGTATATCACAAGCATAATCGTGTTTAGAATAAATCTTATGTAGAACTAAACTGAATTTAAACAGGAATTAGTTCAAACTAATAATTTGTTTGTATCAAAATTTCAAACATTGAAGTAATAGAACTAAACTAAACCATGTTCTGTATTTTAATCATTGAACTAAATTTAATTATTTTCTTATATTTCCTATGATTCCACAGTTTCAGACATACATAAACAATTACACAGCCATTGAAGGGGTTAATTTTGGAATGACACGGGTCTCACCTTTTTCTTTTTCATTGGAAGATTCTGTATTTTAAGCTGCAATTAAATTAAACTCACATGAAATGAAATTTGTTTTGATAAGAAACTAAACTTGTATTCTCGTTAGCAAAGTATAAAACAGAAGCCTGTGTTATTTAAAGTGTATTCTCGTTGCAAATGTGTGAGTTCAGTTCCATTTGTTCTGTTTCCTTTGCCCTCATCTTCCTCTAGAGTGTTTATTGTGTCCAAACAAAATGAGATTTCATGTTTATGTTAATCTACAGCAAACCACTCAAATGATCTAGGAGACCAAATTGTACAAAAATCAACCAGTTTGTTGTGTAAAGCTTCTTAACATATGTTAAGTTTGATTAATGAACAAATAAGCCAAGCTTGAGATAGCTTTGTATAATGACTAACAAGAGATGGAAGGAAGGTTCACGTTTTTCAATCCTTCAAATCATTTAAGATGTTAAGTTCTCCTAGAATTTTCATGAGGATCTAGAAGGACCGCCACAACACAATATAAGCAGACATCTCCACGACAAACAATAGCAGACTATACAAGCTTCAATATTCCACAACACAATGTGAGCAAACTTGTACATGATAAGCAATAGCAGATTATATAATTTTCAAGTATTCAAGTAGCTAATACGCAAAGAAATGAAATTACTGGCCTATACAGTGTAAATTTTAACATATGCAAATACTCAAAATTAGTTTCCTCATTCCTACGAGTGAGAATCACCAAGAGAAATACTTAGTATTAACATAAAACATATTTTAAGAACTCAAGAAAGGACGTGACAGCATCGCTTACATGTTTAAGCTATATGATTGTTTTACTTGATTAAACCTTCGTCTTCACTGAAACTGGGAAACTTTCCTAATCCTTTTGATTTCTTATGATCAATACATTATCAAGCTCCTTCTGCAAATGTGATGTCAATTTGTAGTTAGAAACCAAACTTGTGTCCAAATTCTCCTTTGCAGCAACAGGTTGCGACTTTGTCATCTCTGCTTCAGCTATCTCAGAATTGCTCAAGAACCCACTGTTCCCTTGAAGTTAAAATGAATGTTGAGTTAAGCTGATAAAAAGAAATGTGAAGGAAAAAAAAATCATCAAAATCAAAACAAACGTGAAGAGGATTGACTACAATCAAATACTACTTGGAATCCTCAAGTCATTCACTTGAATAAGAGATTCCTTAACAAACCAATCCGCAGTTCAATTTTTATGTCCAAAAAAATAAAAAAGGAATTAATATCATCTTTACCTCACTTGTTATGAATCGGCATCGTATTTTGGAAGTTCTGAAATGCAATTTTGTGGTCAACCACATGGACCGAAGATTGGCCAACTTCGAAGCTAACATCTGAGAATTGCTCGCTTGCAATTTCTTTTTGTTTATATTTATTTTCTCGGAAACCAAACAGAGAGTTAAGTTTGAGGGGTAACCTGGGGAGGAGAGAGAGACGTTGATTTTCTGGTGTATTCTACGGGCTCCGGGCATGCTCGAAACACTAAGGAAAGAGCGAATTGTTATAAATATTGCGGGTAGTTTAATTTTTTTTTTAAGTAAAAATAAATATTTAAGAGTTGTTATCGATTCCTTTAATAAAAAAAATCCTAATTGTTAATTGAAATCTATGTTGCATCTTTTTAAGTATTATATATTAAACACTATTTTTTTTTAAATAAAATAATAATATATTAAATTAATTCTGTTAACTAGTAAATTTTAAGTTATAAGGTTATAATAATATTATAAAATAAATTAAAAAAATTATTTTTTAATGAACTTAATAGTTGGAAGATAAAATAAAAAAATTAAATTAAAAAACTACTCAGACCATGAAATTAAAATAATTTTATAAAAAAATAAACTATAAAACTCTATTTTCAATCAACTCAATATTGAACGATGAAATCGAAAAAAAACCAATTAAAAAAAAATACTCAAGTTAACTCAGACCAACTTGTTAAATTTGCGATTTACGTCATGAAATTAAAATAACTTTATAAAAATCAAATAAAAAAATTATAAAAATCTATTTCCAACAAATTCAATGTTGAATGTTGAAATTATATATAAAAAAAACTAAATCTATGAGACCGGGTTAACTTTATAGAAATAAATTTTTTTTAAAAAAATAAAAAGTTTAATTCTCAAATAACCTAATATCAAATAATAAAATTAAATAAAGAAATAAATATTGAGTTGTTGGAGGGTTATATAAAAAAATCAATTAAAAAAATAAACCAAGTAAACTCGAATCAACCAACTAAATGACAACATAGTTAATAAGATCGAGATAAATTGATAAAAAAATAAATTGAAAAAAAAATTATAAAACCCTATTTTAAATAAATCTAGCGTTAAAGATTGAAATCAAGGGCAAAAAAAACTAAATTCATGATAATGTTATATAACTTGACATAAAAAAATAAATAAAAATTATAAAGTACAATCCTTAAAATAACATAATATTGAAGGATGAAATATAAAAATAACTAGAGAAAAAAAAACACTAAACACATTACAATAAATATATTTTGTAGGTGTGATAATAGTGATTTAGTTACATCCTCTAGTGTTTTGTTAATTAGATTGATGCTCGTGTTTTGTTAATTAGATTGATGCTCGTGCTATACAATTGGCAGGGTCATATTTTTTCTAACATAAAAAATAAATGTTCAATCGATTTCAATATTTTAAAAAAAGTAAGAAAGAAATGAGAAATAGATTAGAAAAATCTAAGACATAAATCATTCACTTGATTGAGTTTTAATATGCTTGGTTAATTTAATAATATGATTAACAAAATACATCATCAGTGAATAAACAAAATGTTTTAGGCAATAATTAACTATAAAAAAATAAACTGACAATATCTATCAGTTTAGATACACAACAATCATCTAAAGGTTTTAATGATAACAAAATATATTATTAATGTTGTATGACTATAATAATAAAATAAACAATTAATATTGTTTTATATATATGTTTTACATTGATGTCTTAAACTAGCATAAAAAAAAGTGATGTGTCTAATTTGTCACACTACTATGCTTATATGAAATATTCATTAATTCTTAAGTTTATTTGAATGTCAAATAAAAAAAGTTAGTATGGAAAAAGCATTATTGCTTAAGTTAAATGATGATTAAATTCAATGTCTAGATATGTCTAAGAGCTAGGTAAGTAGCTCTACTTAATGAACATAAAAATATATTACTTATAATTATATATTGCACAATTTTCATGATGATGTAGACAAGTTTTATGAAAATGGAATCATTTAAGAAAATCATTAAAGAAGTAAAACATGGATATATGAAGTGACACAATAATGGTTTTTGTCTTCAAACAAGAATCTTGATGCAATAATGGTTTTCGACTTCAAAAATCAAGATCTTGCAAAGAAAAATTTTCAAATAATTTTTAATTAATCTAGGAATAAGTTTTCACACCCATAAAACCTAAAAAACCCATAAGGACACAAGACAACCAAGAAAATACCAAAACATACAAAACAAGAAAAAAATTCTAGAAGTTAAATCAGTCTAATAATTTCTAAAAATTCTAGAATTTGTTCAAGTTCTTCAAAACAATCTATCAGTTTTGACAATGGTCTAACTAATTCTCCAAAGGGTAGAAATATTTTGGAAGTTGAGTTGTAAACCCTTGTATAAATATAGGGCTGAACATAATGAGACCTTGATGAGTAATGAAAATTCGAGATGAAAAAAAATGAATAAATGATAGAAATAATAATAAATATGACATGCATGGAGATGATGATCTCTAAAAATAAATATAAAAGTATTGTTGTAGTTAAAATGAGAGCTATAAATGTTAGATAAAAATTCATAATATCAGCGCATTTGATAACGACGTTCGAAGGATAAAAGAATAAAAAAAATTAAATAAACATATAACATTATCGTAAAACGATAATAGTTTGTAAATTCAATAATGATAAACAAAAAATTAAAAGAAATATATTCTGGAATGATATAATGGCCTTAAGAACTTGGTCAAATAATTGGTATAATTTAAGTAAGGATTGAATAAGAAAATTCAAATTTTGACATAAAAATCATCTATTTACTAGTGTTACACTATTGCGCATAACTTTCAATTCGAATGTTGAATCAAGCTAAAATTTTATGAGGAGTTTCCTGATATATTTTTCTACCTTAGTTTATAATTTTAGGTCAATCAAAATGCATAAAATGATTTGCAATAAGTTTAGAAGTCGTATATGTTTCTTAGAGACATTAAAGGTGTATTTTTATAAATAAGACAAAATCTTCATCTCCTTTCCTTATAAAACAACCAGCAACATCTTTTCAAGTTTTAGTTCTTCTTTTTTTTTTGACATATATTGATTATTGAAGTTGATTAGATTTAAGGTTTAATGGATCAACGAATAATTTTTATTTAAATTGTTTAATAATAGGTTAATTAATATGGTTAATGAATGAGTTCAGGGTTAATTGCATGAAAAATTGAAAGGAAAGCCTTGATTTCATCCTTGGTTATTTTAGCCAACATTAAACAAAATAGAAAGGGACTAAGTTGTGTTGAGTTTTGTTTAAAAGATTAATTATGTGTTGTTTAATGTAAATCATGATTGAGATAATGTAAATTATAAAGAGTTTTAGGAAGAACCGATGAAATTCTTCGATGAAAGGTTTGGCCAAATGGTGACAATTATAAGGGTTATTAATTTGATTTATCAAGTGTTCAAATGTGTGATGATGTGCTTTATAGTTATTTATTAGTATTTAAAAGTGTATTTTTATTAAGGTTTTATATCATTATTTTGCACTTTAAGTATCAATAACTCCTTAACTAAAGCATGTTTTATAATAACAAGTCTGATACTATAAGATACCTTTAAATTATGGTAAATATTCATCCTAAATATAGGCCTATTATATAAATAAAAGGATTGATTGATGAGTTGAAGAACTGAAATTGAAAGGACAAAGAAAGGGTGAAGCTTAGAAAAGAGATGCTAGTTTCGTCTAAACTAGAACATTGTTCGGTAATTGGATCATAACTGGAGTAGTAGAACTTAAATTTAGGTCTGTTTTACATGGATGGAAAGCTAAGACATAGGCCTAAAACTTTTATAAGAAGACAACACTCAATTCTGCTGTTTGGATGTTTAAATTTTAGCAACAATGTAGAAGTCCAAATTTATCCTACAGCCTAGACACTGTTCAGTGTTCAGCATATATCTCAAGTTGTAGAAGTCCAAATGACCTCAATTGTTTTTTCCTGGCAAGCTAAGATAATTTTTTAAAACTTTCATGGTAAGGTTAGTTCAAATTCTAACGTTATCATTGATGTTTTTGGTGGACAAGAAGATAAGGATTGTCACTAAGTCAAGATATGGCCACCCACTCAACAATTAGTCAACAAATCAATACTTTTCAATTTTGGCCTATAAAAGGAGGCATTTGCTATGCATTTAGACATCTTGGTTTTCAAATCAAGATCATGTTCTTGCTCTCTGTTTATCATAATGCTTAAGTTTTGTTTATATTAATCTCTTGTTTATGCTTCTTATTTCCTTTCCTTTACTTAGTTAACTTATATCTTATTTATGTTCTTACCTTGTTTATTTATCTTTTCCTTTTATTACATTTAGTTAAGTTTGTTATGTCAAGGTGAAAAGGTTTAAGAATAAGTATAATGTAAACTTAATATGGACTTTAATGTTTGATACTAACATGTTTTGTATTTGTTATCTTGTTCACTTTTAATACTTTGCTTGTTAAATGGTTAATCTAGATTTATGTTGTATAACAGTTGGTACAATAAATACTTGGCACTTTCATAGCCCAACTATATGGTATAACCGACACTAGTACAATTAAAGGAACTTGATTTGTTGTTAACATAAGTTATAATCATGAATGCTTGACAACATTTACAAGTATTAACATTATTTAAATAAGATAACTAATGTAATCATGTTAACAATTTATAATCCGATTGAAATCTTCTTTGTGTGTGGTTTATAGTAAAATAATAAGAGTTTATACTATACTTGTTTGAAATACGATTAGTGAATCCTCTAACTCGACATTTGTTTTTATTGTTTAATCTTCACATTAATCTTACATCTCAATGTCCTCTTTAACTTCTTCTTCTTCTTCTTCTTTTTTATTACTATGAGTATTACTACTACTACTACTACTACTACTACTACTATTACTATTATTGTTGTTGTTGTTGTTGTTGTTGTTGTTTATAATTTATACAGTTAACCTGCTTGTGATTCGATTCTGGTCTTGTCGGGTTATTTATTATTTCGACAGTCCTACACTTGGAAGAAGACATCAATCTTTTGGTCGTGTTAAGTTTTTGGCATCATTGCTAGGAAGGTAAATTCTTGTATAAATTATATTATTTATTTTATTTTCACTTTTCTTGTATCTAACTTTGTTTCTTTTCTTTTGTTTCTTTTTTAATTTGTTTTC